TTAGTTAGTTCTGTGCCCGTTGGCAGCGCCGCCCTACACAATGACGTTTACGTTGTGTTATTTACCCCGATTTTGACATTTGCACTGTCGCGTCTACTGTCAATGAAAAAGCTTGCGTATTAAATCGTGGCAAGCACCAAACGATGTTTTTACTACTTAATTTTCTTATATCCTAAATTAAAATGTCACCAGTGAATTAAATGTAAAAGACTCATATAACTCCGATCCATAGTGCGCACTGTTGTGTTTCCATTTACAAGTGTGGTTAGAATTCTGATTTATGAATATTTACAATGGGCACTTCAGTTAGTCGACAAACCGATTTGTCTTCGAATGAATTCCTTGTACGTTTCATCGGCGAAGGGAACTATTTCTAAGGATGACAATTTTTGGGATAGGTTTCTTTCGTTTAGCATTACACCGCCTTGTAACAAGTAGGACATTGCACAATCTATTTGTATACTTATCAAAGGATTAAGTATGGTGTTTAAATTTATCTTTATTGCAGGGAAGAAACAATTGTCGTTGGATTCAAGAGTCGAAACGCTTTGTCAAAAGTTATTGCTGTACGATACGCATACAGCAAATTTTTCTACGCTGATCCAAGTGTTTCATGCTAAGGCGTCGAAGATATTGTCATTAACGAATACAGACAGTATAATAGATACATAAATAAATATACACGTATATATATATATATATATATATATATATAGATATATATATATATATACTAGATGACCTGGAATACGTTGTCCTGTACCCACGTCTACAATTTTTTAATATCCTATACTAATATTTACATTTAGCTAAAAAAATAATTATTGCTTTTTAAATTACTCTTCACACCAAATACATATACATTTTACAATATTTATTTATTTATTTATTTATTTTAAATATATAGCCCACAGATGATTCAAAAATACAATTATTTTGCATAATGAATAACAATTAAAATATATACAAAATTACAATATATAGTTATTAACATAAAATGCTTAACATGAAATTACATATAATGCTGAATGTAACAATATTATTTATAAACAGAATAAGATAAAATAATGAGATATTTGAAAAGAAAATAAAAAGGTTAACTTGTGCATATGGAGATTATTCGATTATTAGGTGAAGTGTTGTGAATATCTATTTCATTATTAATTAAGTTAAAGTTAGAGGACATAAGTAAAATAGGCGAATTTAAGAGAGAATTAGATTTAAGAGTAGGATAATTGACAAATAATTGTGAACGCGTAGATATCGTTGGAACATTAAAGGATAGTTGTTTAAAAATAAGAGGACAGTCTATAGAATTATTGCAAAGTTTAAATAAGAACATAATTGTACAGATAAATCGACGTGAGTCAAGGGAAGAAATACCAAATTCATTTAGTAAAGTGTTGTGGTCAAAGCTACGTTCAGAGTAAATTTTACTGAACCTTCTCTATTGCATCAGAGTTGTCGATTGGATGAGGATACCAAATAATCGAACCATATTCTAATTTTGAAATAGAATAGTACACGCAAAGAAGTGCATTGTTAGAATTGAATTGTCTACAATTTCTCAGTATCAAACCTAAAGATATCATCCGTGAAAAACAAACCAGAATCAAATAAAACTCCTAAATCCGAAATTTCATTACATCTATCAATGCTGGTGTTAGAAATTTTATAATCAAAATGTATTGGATCGCGCTTATGTGAAAAACTAAGAATCTTGCATTTTGATATATTTTAATGTAATTTGTTATAGACACACCAAGAGTGGAAAGAGTCCAGTTGAGACTATAATAATAAGCAGTCATCAATAGAATTATTTTGAAATATAGTTTGAGATCATCTGCAAATAATAAATGTGGACAGCTAATAATATCAGAAATGTCATTAATAAAAATAATAAATAGTAGTGGACCAAGAATGTATTCCTGAGGAACACCTGAACTGATATTTTCAATATTGCTCAAGAATCCATTAAGATAGACAAACTGTTTACGATTATGAAGATAACTCTTAAAAAAATAAATAAGTGAAGAATTAAGACCAATCTTAGATAATTTAGTAAGAAGACTGTTATGTTCAATTTTGTCAAAACTTTTACTGAAGTCAGTGTAAATAACATCAACTTGTCCATTGATGTTAAGATTCTCAGCTATATATTGTTTAATACAGATTAAATTTGTTATCGTAGAACGGGCAGGCATGAATCCATGTTGATTAGTAGAAATTAAAGTTCTAACAGAAGGAATTAGTTCTCTATAAATATTTTTTTCAAATACCTCAGCAAAGTTTGATAATAATAATTTGATATCAATATGAGCGATGTTAAATGTAGAACTGCTTTAAATAAAATAATTAGTCTCAATTCCCACAATATATTGGTAATTAAAGTCTTTTAAACAATGTAACAAGTTCAGTAAAAATTAATATATAGTATCCGCTGCAAAAGTACAACATTACCTTGGATTTTTCACCCAAGGATTTTTTACTGCTTAAGTGCCAGTGTAATGTTATGGTTATGGTTATGTTATACCGTTTAAAAGACTTCACTTTGCAATATAGTGTGAGAAATGAAACTCATCATTTTATTTAAAGCAGTTCTACATTTAACATCGCTCATATTATAAATGTATATGCATTTTGGCGTGAAGAGTAATTTAAAAAACAATAATTATTATTTTTAGGTAAACGGTAAATATTAGTATATAATATTAAAAATTTGCAACATGGGTACAGGACGTCTGTCGGGCCATCTAGTATATATATATATATATATATATATATATAAATTTCTATTATTTCAGTAACGTCTTAATATGGCAGACTTTCAATGCATTATTCGTTATAAGATGCATCATCAAATATCTAACAGAAACTGTATCCGAATACCAAATGCTACAACACTTTGAAGCTTCAGATAAACTAAAGACTCAGAAACAAGTAGATAATCATGTAGATAACAATGTCAATGCAAATGTTATTGTTGACAAACAAACGCAAGATACTAGCACGCAGATCAATGGTGTATCTAAAGAAAATAATAAAGGATTTAGCAAACGCATTGAATCGTTTGTTGAAGACTTGATTAATATAATAGCCATAGTTCCTACAAGGTAAATAGAAGTGAATATATATATATATATATATATATATATATATACACGTATATATATATGTATGTATGCATTTATTTTTAAATTTGTATTTTTTAGAGATATTACCTATGCTTTACATTTGGAAGCTGTAAATTGTGCCTTAATTCTTCTGACAAATAATGTTTTTTCAAATCAGAAGACTGAAGACTCCGTGATATACAAGTAAGTACAAAATATGTCCTTTATAAATTAAATTGTATAACATTGTGTTTTTATTTATTTATTTTTTTTAGAACTGTTATGCAAGGTGTGTGTTGTGTTAAAGCTGCCCCATTGACGAGAGCCTTATTACAACATATAAGTCATTGCACAAAGGCTCCACCTTCGATGTTTGGAAACGCAAGCGGAGGATCTTTTGTATTAGGTATTTAATTACAACAAAAAAATCTATATTAAAATTATATTTTTATATTTATATTTTATTTTTCAGATCTCTGGTCTTTACTGACTTTCTCAAAATCGAGATCACAAACAACCCAAGCATTAAATTCTGATTCTCCTGAAGCATTGGCAGAAAATTTTAGAGAGACGACACCATTAGCAAATCACAGTCTGTTGTTATTGCTCGTGTTGACTAACCATTGTACAACTCAGAAGAACGTGTATAGAGATTGCTTGTTTAGTTGTGTTGACACTAATGGTAAATTATAATATATATATATATATATATATATATACATGTATATGTATATATATATGTATATCTATATATTTTTTTTTAGATCCTAGCAATAATGACTCAATAAGCTTTCGTGTTGACTTCTTACCATTGTTCAACACTTTGTGCAACATTGTGTGCCTGGATCAAGCAACGCTTCTATTGTATTTACTGCTGCATAAAAATCAAAATTTTAAAAAGTTTGTTTTGACGAATCAAAATCTAGACTTGTTGGTAAGTGAATTATATTTTTATGCAAAATGTTTTATACAGTATATTAGGTTGTCAAATATCTCCCTTCCGCCTTTTTGTATTATAAACCAAGAGCAAAAGAGCGGAAGGGAGATATTTGACAACCTAATATTAACACACTAAAAGCTTGTAAAGAATTCAAGTATAAAATGTGATTTTAAATTTAAATTATGCATTATGAAGGAGTTTATTTTATTAAAAATGTTTATTTAGAAAGAAATGAACAATATGAATTTTGCAAGAAAGTTATATAACATAGTTGAAATAGAAAAATGCTTTTTTAATGCTGTATCAATTGATTTTAGTCAAAATTTTGATATCAAAGTGTATATAACAGTGTTTACTAGATTTTTGTAAATTTTATCTAGTTTTTACTAATGCAAACAAATTATAATGTTCAAGAAGAAAATTTAAAGTTATTTGAAGAAAAGTAAAAAAAAATGCGACTCCATCACCAATTCCCAAACTCCATCATATACATAATGCAAATTATAGAAATACTGAAGTCCGCATTTCAACTACGAATTTTTCAAAATTTTAATATACAAGTATATATAACAGTGTTTACTAGATTTTAGTATATTTTATTTACTTTTTACTAATGTAAACAAGTTATAATGTCCGGGACGAAAATCAAAAGTTATTTAAAGAAAAGTAAAAAAATGTTCTAAATTCATATAATGCATTTATCAAAAGTCTGCATTTCAACTACGAATTACTCAAAATTTTATTATTCAAGTGTGTATAACAGTTTTTACTAGGTTTTAGTAAATTTTATCTAGTTTTTACTAATGTAAACAAGTTATAATGTCCGAGAAGAAAATCAAAAGTTATTTAAAGAAAAGTAAAAAAACGTTCTAAATTCATATAATACAATTATCAAGTCTGCATTTCAACTACGAATTACTCAAAATTTTATTATTCAAGTGTGTATAACAGTTTTTACTAGATTTTAGTAAATTTTAACTAGTTTTCAATATAAATAAATATAATATAAGATAAAACAAAGTGTTTGGGGTAAAATTGACAAAATTTTCGTAAGAATATAAAAAATGTCCAACATTCCCATCTTGCTAAATATATTATCACAAAATAAATGTTCCTATAGTTTTATTCAAAACTATATTTTTTACTGCTAAATAAAAGGTTTTAAATAAATATTTTAGAAATGTAAAAAATTCCCTAATTTTATACATGACTTATTATAAATAAATACTAAGTAAATCTAATTTAATTGAATCTGAACAAAAACTACCAGTTAGCTTTTTCAATATTATATGTAAACCGATTTTAAAGTTTACCAGCCCTTGAGATGGGTATTTTTACCTGCCCCGCTAATAGTAGTAACCTATTGTTATAAAAAAACATTAAATTAATTTATTGAATTATTAATTAGCATTCGCTTAATTTTATTATTTTCTAGGTTGTTCCAATATTGAGGACTTTGTACAATGCGCCAAATAGTACATCCCATCACATATACATGTCTTTGATTATTTTATTGATGTTGAGCGAAGATGATGGTTTTAATAAAAGTGTACACCAAATGGTAATTATATAAATATATTCTTATATGCACTTATTATATAATATATTTATTATATTGATTATTTTTTTTGTAGCAACTAAAATCTATTCCCTGGTACACGGAAAGAAGCATGACTGAAATATCTTTAGGGGGTTTATTGATTCTTGTAATCATTCGGACTATACAATACAATATGATTAAAATGAGGGATAAATATCTGCATACGAATTGTCTTGCTGCACTAGCTAATATGTCAGGTAAATCGAAATATATATATATACTAGCTGACCCGGCAAACGTTGTTTTTCTTAATAAGGTATATTCTAAACAATTTCTAGATAATCAAAAGAATTAGTATTTTTAGTGTATAAGGATGTGATGTTTGAATGCTATATACAATGAGGTATTATAAAAACAATAAACCCCATTAGTTTGTCTATATTTTGTCAATACAATCAAACTCGAAGTTTTATACACTTTCTATAGAAAACATGGTGTAATCCAATCCAAGTCTTTTTTGGTCTTTTGACTTATTGATTACGTTTCAAGTTTTTCAGATTTCTTTTGGATGCAGGATTTTGTGTATAATCGTAAATAATACTAAAAAAAATTTCAAATTTCTGCGAGGATAGATAAAAAAAAAAATTAAGTATTTCTTCTTTGACGTGCTTTTTGAAAAGTTTCAAGTAACATTCAATGAATTAAAGTAAACTTAATAAAAAGTATATATGTAGAGCAGGACGAGGCACGAAGGTCCGTTTTAACTTTGAGCAAATATAAACTATATTGTGAAAACCATAACAATTATATCACAACAAATAACACATTTCAAATGAACAATTATCTAACTACGTTTTATACTGCCTTCAAAATGTCTTTCAAAAATTTGTTATCTAGGCCTTTTTACCTTTGGCAAACAGGTTTAATGTCTTATTTTAATTTTAAAGGTATTTTACAAAATAATTACACTTTTACCTAATACTAAAAAACTACCAACGGAAGACAGTACTTTTATTATGGATTTTCAAAGATTATCGTTTACTCCCGATAGCAAAGACTTCAAATCAAGGCTATAGCCAGTTATACATCATTTTCCCTCTACTTTCAAATATTGTTGTTAAACAATGCTTAACTTTACTGTTTTTTTTTTGACACATCGATGGCGGACCTTTCTAACCCTGGACCTTCATATATTAATATCTATTCTTCGATAAATTCTGGGAAATTATAATTGGGAAAATGTTATTCGACAAAATGTCCATTTGATCGATACCAAGTTTAGGTTCTCAATTTAAATAACATAAATAAAAATAATATAACTTAGAAAATGTTTTATAAATACCAATGAGTATATAAATATATAAATGAGATCTTTCAGAGTACCGTGTTTGAGAAAAATATGCCAAAAAGTGCATTTCCATATTAACATTTCAAAAAAGTTGATATTTTGAGTTTCTAGTAACACTTGCGGCCCGTTTAATAACGTTTTTGTTTAAAAATAAAACTACAAACCAAACTACTTACTACAATTTAATCATAATTAAATAATATTCACGTAAAACATCCTATTAAACGTGATTGAACATCATCTGTCAAAAACGTTTGACATTTGACGTATTAGCCACCGTCCATTGTTTTATTTAAATTACGCTTCTACACAAATTTTCAAATTAAAAATGTAAAGTTTCTACGCGATTTTGAAATAATATCTCACTTTTCCGACAACCCACTGATTAGCACGAATTTTTCAAGACTAAGACTGGCCAAATCGGTTCAGCCGTTTTCGAGTTTTACCGAATCGTTTGATCGAGAGCTCCATTTTTATATATAATATTAGAAAAGCGAAAAGATTTACTTTTCATCTAAATAATTGATTAATTTTTGAAGTCATACTTAATAATTATTCTATATTTTTTATCACATAATAACAATTGCACAAACAAACTATTTCTTATTATGTCTTATTTCTTTTCATGTTTTTATTATTAGGTCAATTCAGAGACCTCCATCCTTACGTTGCCCAAAGATTAGTCAGTTTATTCGAAACGTTAGCCAAAAAACATTCAAGACTTCAACTTATGTTGCAAAAGAAAACGCAAAACGTTCCTGTTGAAACTGTTATCAATACTACGGATTCAAACGATTTGGTAAGGTTATTAATTATACATATAGACATATACATGTAAATTAATGATATGTCTTTTTTACCAGGAGCAAGACTTAATAGTTTTAGAAGAAGTCCTTCGTATGGTTTTGGAAATTCTGAACTCTTGTCTTAGTCAACAGTTACCTGCATGTCCCAATTTAGTTTACGCTTTATTGTACAATAAACATATTTTCGAACCCTTTAGGACTAATGCTGCTTTTCAAGATATAATACAAAACATCGACATGGTAAATAAAATGACTAATACACCTAAGTCTGTTTTTACACGGTCTTTTTGTACACGGTTTTGATATAACACGGTTTGAAAATTGAATATTTTTAATTTTTTTACACGATTTTATTCCATTTAGCACGATTTGAAATTTTATGTACTTAAATTTTTTTTGTCAAATTTAATTTTTGCGAAGTATGTTCATATCACAAAAAAGTATTTATGAAAGAAAAAAGTCTGAAACCATCGACAGTATCGATAGTTTGCGAACACTAGCTTAAAGATTTAAGTGAATTCCCCTTTAGCGCGTACAAACAATTTTTACTGGTCAAAGCAAATGTGAATAGCACTAATTTAATTCTTGTTCTTAAAAATTCTTGTTTTTCACCAATTTTAATAGGTTTTAGAGTCACCCATTCTTGTATTCAAATCACCCATTTTTGTATAAGATCAATGTCTTTTTTTCCCCTTTTTTTTACACGGATTCTTCTGGAACCAATCTCCGTGTAAAAACAGACTTAGTTGTACTTCATTTAAGTTAGTACTAACCTTTTGTATCATTTATCCCAGGTGATAGGATTCTTTTCCTCAAGACTACAAAGGGTGCAAGAGCAGAGCGAGTTAGGAGTGCATGAAGTTCTGGTCACGATTAATAAAGGTTCCACACAATGGTCAAAGGATAGATTAAGGGTAAGATTTGAACATGATTAACCAAGTCAATAATTTAGAAATTTTTGAGAAACAACTTCAATTTTGTCCCTTTTTGAAGTAAAACTTCTTTAGGCGCGATATGGGTGTAAAGTAATCGTTTGCATGATTCGCGCTTACAACGCTAGTAAGCGCAGCATCGCAATTATTCGATCTAGTCTGCGAGCAAAACAAAAAATACATCAAATGCCAAATCATATGTCAAAAACAAAACAAAATGTGTCGACTTTCACTTGAGTTTTGTATTTAGCTCGTAGTCTCTAAACATTTTTTGAAGTAAAACTTCTTTAGGCGCGACACGGGTTCGCAGTATAATTCGTGAGTTAATAAAAATGTCAGGATCGGAAGAATATTTTATCCCGTCCCTCATAAATAATTGTAGTGCAAATGATCGCAAATAAATAATGAAACTAAGGAAAAATCTGCGCTGCGTAAGAAATGATAGCTTTGGCTATGTATGTTTTGTGTGCGATCGACTTTGGCTTCAAAGTGGCTCAGAAATATCAAATGATGCTCAAAAACAAATTCTTAATAATGTTTTTTGAATATTGATTCAAATGATCAGGTTGGATGTCAAACTTGTCGAAAGATATTAAATTCGGGTAAAATTCGGGTAAAATTTTCACTTTGTGTAAATTTAACGGGTTTGACATGCAAATAGACAATTTGGAATATTTGGCCAAATTATAAATGTGCCTGTTGACATTAATAATATGGTTAATTTATTACCTCGTAATATTGATGATGATCATTGCATTAACGTTCACATAAAAAAGCAAATGATTCATAGATCAAGCTATGTGCAGGGCTTGATAAATAAAACAAATATAAAAGTATGGCTTCAATTTGTTAGGCAAGACGGATATTACAGCTGTTCAAGGAATGAGATTATATCGTCAGCGAAAAAGTAAAAAAATACAAACAGTAAATGAATGTATGTTAATTTTAATTACATGAAGTTCTTCAAACACAATTGTTTAGGATGAGTTAATTTGCAAAAACAATATTTGGTTAGGCGTTGTTTAACATAATCCACTGTGTGAATAAATATTATAGAATTTATTAATCAGCAATTACTTTAAAACGATCATGTCATATTTCAAGTACGACTTTGATTACATTATTGTTTGTAAATATTATACATATTTTTAATGTAATCATAAATATATAATTTATAATTTATCATTATATAAATGCGTATAATGATTGACGACACTAATAAATGTGTGCATCACGAGTGTTACCATATTACTAATGAACATTATTCAAAATTTTTATATGGTGTATTTATTTTTACTCAACTTAAATTTGCTACTTTATACAGTTGCAAATAAGTTTTACTTCAATCGCGTGTGATCCTTACGCGCACTCTTTTTTTTTTTAAATTGAATTCGAAATGAAATGACGATTGTTAATGTTCTGAAGATAAATTGATTTGTGATTTACATTTGATTTGCTCAGATATAACAAGATAGCAAAGATAATGAAAGTTACAGTATTTGTAATAATATATTTGAAAACATTCAGTATTCCTCGAACATTTCGTTACGGTACGGGAAGTTCCAGCAATTTGCCTTAAGGCACGATGCCATACACCACTAGTTTGATAATTGTATGAGAAAATAAGTTTATTAGATTCATTTTTAAAAAATTGTGTATCAATTTTTGTGTTAAGAATAGTTTGCTGTGTTACATTTTAAATTTTACAGTGTGGATCAAATAATATTTTATTTTATTTTTTTGTTTAAACAGAAATTCCCAGAATTAAAGTTTAAGTATGTCGAAGAAGAGTCTCCAGAAGAATTTTTCATTCCGTACATTTGGGGCTTGGTGCTTAATGGTAGTGCTTTATATTTTAATTCGGAAAGCTTGACATCAGTTGCTACTGTGTAAATTCCAGGTGAGAATATATTTATATATATATATATATATATATATATATATATATATATGTCTGATTTTCTATTCTCTTTTAGATCTATGAATTATACAACCCTCGAGACTTATTAAAAACACAGTTTGAACTGTCAACTGTTTATTTATTTGACCGATCATAAATATAATGTAGATCCTTAAAGACACATAGATAATATAATCAACAACTTAAATTAATTTATCTAGATAGATGATGCTATATTATTGATGAATTTTAATTTTTATGATGTACATAAACATATATAATTTCATGTTACATTAATATTTAAATCAATGTAATTTAGATAATTATTAGGAAATATACATTATATAACAAAGTCGTGGTTTGGCATTTAAATTATAGTCTTATATAATAAGCATAATTTAATTAAACTTTGAAATAAAACAACAATATTTTATATTATTTTTTACTAGTAATACTATTTTGACTAGCATATTGTTAATGGAAATTTGATGAACAAGTTTTCTTTATATATTCATAATTAATATGATTAATTATTGAATTTCTGAAATGATTTCATCGGGAAATATAAATAAGAAAGAATTACAATTCGAATAGTTAAATCACTAGTTGTAAGTAACATTTTGTCTTAAGGCAAGTTGCAGGTAGTACCCAATACAATCTTGAATAGATTTTGAAAATTTATTTGATAGAATGCACATCGAAAAGCTCATGTAACTTGCTTTAAAGCAAAATGCTACTTACAACTAGTTTATTTGTAATTAATGACACATTAGTGTCTATTATTTTTAATTAAATAATAATATTTAATTAGAATATCAATTACACTTACAATAACATTTTGCACAAAAGTAGGACATTGCCATTATATATATGTATATATATATATATATATATATATATATATATATATATATATATTAGGGTGGTCCTTAATATGGACATTTTCGAATTTCTTTGCTCCCAAGGTCTCAAATGCTTCCAAAATAATAAAAATAAATTCTCTAAAAGTTTTAGCTCTTAAAATCAACATTTAGATAGTCCGCAATTCAATTAAAAGTTTTGTATATTTATTATTAAGTAAATTTCTGCGCCATCTGTGATAGCATTTGTGAACTCCTATTTTACGACACTTAACAATATTTCTAAATTACTTATCCTCTAAATATTGCTTCAATATTAAATTAAAGAAAATTGTAATTTGTTATTGTTTAATTTTTTTTTAAAGTGTAATATATAATTTGAATGTTTTTAGTAATAATTATTCCGAGCTTAAAATATTTTGCTTACATTTTATTAGGCTTATAATAATTGTTTATTACTAATATGTAAATTATGTTTGCATTTATTTTGAATTGATCAAAATTAAATTATAAATATTTTTTTTAATATAACAATGTTAGTAACAAGTTTTTGGATACAGAAAAACACATTGTTCGGAACCTTATTGATTTGTTGAGTTAATATGATATTTGGATTGTACTCATTGAGATCTTTCATTTGATACCCCACATGCCATATTTGAAGTGACAACATCTTGGCACTTATAATTCAGCAACCCATTGGTCCACTTTTTATTATATCTCTTGTAACTTTTGAACCGTACGTTTCAAATTGATGTAATATTCGGCAAATTTATGCTAAATTAAATTTTATATATTATTGACTTATATAGAAACCCTTCACCGAGTCGATATACTTTGAACTTTGCAATAAATGATATTAGATATCGAATAAATGCTTTGTACCCAACTCTATTATTTTAGTGTAGCTTTTATTATGATTTTTGTATAGTGCTCGTTGAGGCTTTTCATTTGATACCCCACATGCCATATTTGACACTTATAGTTCAGCAACCTATTGGTCCACTTTTATTGAATACTTAACCTCTAATTAAATCCATGTGGGTTGTTTATCGAAATATTTATTAATCATGGCATCAAAATTAATTTTGCAGCAAAATATTTAATTAATTGGTGACTTAATAATACATTTGCGAAACTTTTAATTGAATTGCGGACTATCTAAATGTTAATATTATGAGGTAAAACTTTTATAGTGCAGTAAACGGATAGGAAAAAAGGGTGTAACCTCTGAATTTTTTTACTGTGCTCCGAATTGAATGAAATTTTGGAATTAGGTTCATCTTACCCTCAAGTTCAAAAGTGAAAACAATTCGGATGACACCCCTTCTCAATTGTGTAATTACATTTTTTCAAAATAACGTCGGAAATCTATAAAAGAACTAATTATAAGAAAAAAATCTTTTATAGTTTTTCAAAAAAAACTAATACTTTTCAAGTTACTGGCCCCTAAAGATTCACATATTTTTGGCGTTTTTCTTCATTTTTTTTGCAAATATCTCCTAAAATATACATTTTAACAAAAATCATGTAATGGACAAAATAATGTCAATAAAAATCTTAATAAATCGGTATTACATAAAGTGTTCTAAGAAAAATATTAAGCAAGATTTGAAAGATCAAAGTCGTTTTTTATTTCGTTCAAGATTTAATTGTTGTATTTAAAACCATCTAGTGTCGAGGTTTCACATTTTATGCATTTCGGTGAAATTGGGTTTTATAGTGCTCAACATAAGCTTTAAAATGAGTGCTGTTACAAGTTTTTTGCGTGTAAAATGAGTGAGCTATCATGCAAATAAGAAGCATATACGATGTTTTTTTCTTTTAAATCATATGGTTTAATGAGCGCTATTTCCACCAGAATTAAAGTAATTCACATTCCATCTAGATTTCACTTCATTATAGACATCTTGATGGATTTTAGCAGATTCACTACTTTAGTACAAACTATTTTAAGAAAACTCAAGATTTTATACAAACTTTTTTTTCAATTTTTTTTTAAATCGAAATTATTTTTTATTATATCATATATATTATTCATATTATATATTAGTTATTTAAAAAAAAAATGTAATTACACAATTTCGAAGGGGTGTCATGTTATGGCGCAACCCGAATTGTTTTCACTTTTGAACTTGAGGGTAAGATGTATCTAATTGCAAAATTTCATTCAATTCGGAACACAGTAAAAAAAATCAGACCTAAAACGCTCCGTTTACTGCACTATTAGAGAATATTTATATATTAATTTGGAAGCATTTGAGCACTTGGGAGCAAAGAAATTCGAAAATGTCCATATCAAGTATCACCCTTAATATTTAATAATTCGGTGATCATATTATATTTCTAATCAGGAATTTCTTCAACCTCATCCAAATTAGGCTTGCGATCATCTTCTTTCTTCTTAACATAATCCACAACCAGTTCCAATCCAATCAAAGCCTCTCAAATCTTTCTTCTTCTGCTCCTCATCTTTACTTTTATCATTTTCATTCTCACTATCACCATTTTGCTCCTCATCATCATCGTCATCGACAGAAATCGTTGCATCTTTACGCTCGGTTGAAATATCATTATAAATCCTGGGCAAATTTTGCAAAACGTAATTAGTATTACAACCATTATCGGGTTTTTTGTACAAGTTTTTGTCGTTGGATAAATTCACGGCGCCTTTTGAATTTGAATTTAAATTTGAATTGTTATTGTTCCGCGGTAAAGGAACGGAGAACGCTGACCCGTGTCTGCCAACCGCGAAATTGTTAGCATCGGAAGCCATCTTGGAATAAGTTGAAACATTTGCTAATTTTTGTTCCTGTTCTTTTTTATTGCGGTCGTAAACGTGTCCACTTACACGTAAATCTATAAAAAAGTGCAAAGGGTCTATTACCCCGTAAGGAGGAGGATACAACGGTGGATACCACATTGGAGGCGGCGGAGGCAAAATCAAATCGCTCTGTTGGTGCTCCTGATTCTCTGTCACTTTGACAGCTCCTTCGCTACTTGTTGAGTTTCTTAATATGTTTTCGGTGGTGTGTTTCGTTAAATGATTTTGTGATGGTGTCGATTCGTGTTGTGGTTTTATATTTGTTGTGAGCTCTAAAGGACGATCTGGAGAACGTATTGTTGAAGGTTTTTTGGAAAAACGATCGGTTTCTGGGATTGAATTTGTGTTGTGGTGTTGTGCTGATGTCGGAGGCATCCAGGAACGTTTTCTTGTACGACGAGTCGCCATGCTTGCACCTGAGGAGAAATTGAGGTTAGGTTAGAATTATAATTGGATAAATGTATATATATATATATATATATATATATATATGTGTGTGTTTTTTATTTATATTTATTTATTTATATGCATGTATGTCAGAATTTACTTCAAATCCTAGCATTGTGTAAACAATTCATATGCTCGAATTGTACAATTGAAAAGGTGTTGTATTATTGAATAGATATGAATACATAATATGGAGTGAAAATTTGAGAAATATTCATAAACTCGAATAAATTGTCTGTTTATAGAAATATGTACAATCGGTATAATACGCAACTAGTGGTGTATGGCATCGTGCCTTAAGGCAAATTGCTGAAACTTCCCGTACCATAATGAAATATTCGAGAAATTTTAAACGTTTTCAAATATATTATTACAAATACTGTAACTTTCATTATTTTTGCTATCTTGTTATATCTGAGTAAACTAAATGTAAATCATAAATCAATTTATCTCCAGAACAAACAATCGTCATTTCATTTCGAATTCAATTTCAAAAAAAAAAGTTGCCTAATTTACACAAAATTGAAAAAGTGCTCCAGTTTCCGTTTTAGACCGCAATTCAGAATTGATTTTGAAAATTCAAAAATTGTTCGAAAGATATTGATTGAGAATCGTGCTGATTAGTTTGTGGTAGAGATCGGCTGGGCCGTTTTCTTGTAATAAAGTGTTAAAAATGTTTGTTTCGATGATTTTTATTATTAAAATATTATGGCTCTACGACAACTCGTTTAGCTTTAAAAATTTGTCAAAGTTTGCAATAATTAGTATCGTTTTTTGGCATTTGTCAAAATTAGACCTTTGATCGACGTTTGCTCAAAAACTCCTGAACCGTTTTCAGAAATTTAAAAGCCGTTTGATGTATCTCGATGAAGACTATTGTTTGTCAGTTTTGTGCGACGATCTGCCGAGCCGTTTCTTTGTAATTTGAAAAAAAGTGTTAAACCTTCTGTCCACATTTGAGCTCAAACTACCGAATCGATTTTAAAAAATCAAAAACTGTTAGAAAGATATTTGTTGGGAATAATACTGATTAGTTTTAGGTGAAAATCTGCCGAGCCGTTTTCTTGTAATTTACTGTTGAGAAAAAAATTTAAACAGATTTTTATGGGACCTTTTTTAACGATATATATCATGGTCTTATAGAACTTACTGAAATATTACGGCCTTAGGACAAGTAGTTTAATTTTAAAAATTCATCAAAGTTTGAGAAAATGATTAGTTTCTTTTGACGTTTGTTAAAATTAAAATTAGACGATTCACTTGGTATAATGATAGAGTACTTGGTCTTAATGAACACACTAAACCATTAAAGTCCTACGGAAACTAGTTCAATTTTAAAAATTGTTGATATTTGAAAATTTGCTTTTAGAAAATACCCCGATAAAGTGTTCGTTCGGTTTCAATTATGTGCAATAAATCCACTCGGAATACTTTTAATCACTCATAAATTAATTTATTATTGATTAAGTCGATTATTTACACATATCGGGAAGTCCATGTAACTTGCCTCAAGGCAAAATACCAATACCAACTAGTTTTCTTATCGATTCATTAGAATGCGTTATATTATATTAAAATCGTAATAAATAAAAATAAATATTATTTATGATTCGTTCTGATCTTAAACCAATGAGTAAACTTAAATCTCGTATTAAATAATAATAAATTCCTCTCCACTTACTCCTCTGTGTCTCTCGAGCCCTGACGAGGCTCCTCAGCATCTCGCTGAAGAAATAAGAATGAGCCCCGGCGGGGGCGGAGTATAGATAGGGGGGCGTGGCCGCCAGCAATCTGCTCACCAAGTCGCCGCCCCTGATGTCGGCTCCACTTGGGGCCGATCTCAGGTGGGGGGCGTGCGGAACGGCCGGGGACGATGTCAGCAATTCCTCCCCCATTGTTAGGGAACACCTAGAAGACAAGACGAGATAAGATGTGAGATATAAAAGGATATAAGATTTGTATACATGCATATATATATATATATATATATATATATATATATATATATGTATACATATATATATATATATGTATTAATTTGGTAATATGAACAAACAACACTCTTCTTGCACTAATTTATTAAATAATAATTTTCACAAACGTTTCGAGACTAGGTTTGTCTCATCATCAGTGTGTTATAATTAAAAAATTTTTTAAAATATGGATATCTAAATTAGCATGTTGTGTTTTTCATTACAAGTCATTCACTGCACGCTGCTCTTTTAATACCAACTGTCTTCGGTATTCGTATTCTCCTAACGACATCTATTTTTCAACTGGACCCTAATCCTTTCTTTCCTATCTGAGTGAGTGACTTTACAATTTCAAGTGGTTTTCAAGTAGGAGAGAATACGAATACCGAAGACAGTTGGTATTAAAACAACATGCTAATTTAGATATCCATATTTTAAAAAAATTTTTAATTATAACACACTGATGATGAGACAAACCTAGTCTCGAAACGTTTGTGAAAATTATTATTTAATAAATTAGTGCAAGAAGAGTGTTGTTTGTTCATATTACCAAATTAATATCTATTATCCACTCAGAATACATTTGTCATATATATGTATATATATATATATATATATATATATATATATATTGTGTGTAGCTCTCGATCAAATGATTCGGTAAAACTTGAAAACGGCTAAACCGATTTGGCCAGTCTTAGTCTTGAACACTTCGTGCCAATCCACAGATGGTCGAAGAGGTGGATTATTACTTCAGAATTGCGTAGATACTTTACATTATTAATTTGAAAATTTTTGTAGAAGCGTGATTTAAATAAAACAATGGACGGTGGTTAATACGTCAAATGTCAAACGTTTCTGACAGATGCTGTTCAATTACGTTTAATAGGATGTTTTACGTGAATATTATTTAATTATGATTAAATTGTAGTAAGTAGTTTTGTTTGTAGTTTTATTTATATACAAAAACGTTAGCAAACGGGCCGCAAGTGTTACTAGAAACTCAAAATATCAACTTTTTTGATATGTTAATATGAAAATGCACTATTTGGTATATTTTTCTCAAACACGGTGTTCTGAAACATCTCATTTGTATAATTATATACTCATTGGTATTTATAACACATCTTCTAGATTATATTATTTTTTATTTATGTTATTTAAATTCAGAACCTAAATTTGGTATCGATTAAATGGGACATTTTGTTGAATAACATTTTTCCAGTTATAATTTCCCAGAATTTATCGAAAAATAAATAGCAATATATGAAAGTCCGGGGTTAAAAAAGTCCACTACCTATGTGGACCAGTAAAGTTAAGCATTGTTTAACAACAATATTTGAAAGTAGAGAAAAAAAGATGTATAACCACCTACAACCTTGATTTGAAAACGGTAATCTTTGAAATGGGGGAGATAAACGGTAATGTTTGAAAGGCCATAATAAAAGTATTTTCTTTCGTTGGTAGTTTTTTATCATTAGTTGAAAGTGTAATTATTTTATAACACCTTCGAAATTAAAATAAGACAGTAAACCTTTTTGCCACCTGGCCGTTTCAGGTTACCCCCGCCTATAGGGTAAAAAGGTCTAGATAATAAATTTTTGAAAGACATCAAAAAAGCACATTTCTACAATGATGAAGTAGTTGGCAGTTTCACTGAACGTAGTCAGATAATTGTTCGTTTGATATGTGTTATTTGTTGTGATATAATTGTTATGGTTTTCACAATATAGTTTATATTTGCTCAAAGTCAAATTGGACCTTTGTGCCTCGCCCTGCTCTACATATATACTTTTTATTAAATTTACTTTAATTCATCGAATGTAACTTGAAACTTTTCAAAAAGCAGGTCAAAGAAGAAATACTTAATTCATTTTTTATCTCTCCTCGCAGAAATTTGAAAATTTTGTATAAGTTCAGTAGTATTATTTACAATTCTACACAAAATCCAGAATCCAAAAAGAATCTGAAAAACTTGAAACGTAATCAATAAGTCGAAAGACCAAAAAAGACTTGGATTGGATTATATCATGTTTTCTATAGGAAGTGTATAAAACTTGCAGTTTGATTGTATTGACAAAATATAGACAAACCAATGGGGTTTATTGTTTTTATAATACCTCATTGTATACAGCATTCAAACAACACATCCTTATACACTAAAAGTATTAATATTTTTGATTCTCTAGAAATTGTTTAGAATATACCTTACTTAGCAAAACAACGTTTTCCGGGTCAGCTAGTATATATATATATATATATATATATATATATATTTACAGGTACAATGAAATTGTGTAAACTGTTTGCTAGACATTTATATCCGGCACAGTTTAGTTTTGCATACAGGATATGAATACAAATGCAACGAACTACATAAACTTTATCCCAAACAGTTTCTACTCGTTCCACATAATATACCTTTTACAGAATTTATACGCTAAAATTAAACTAAACCTAACGAACCTGTCTTGAAAAAATAAACTTGGAAATTTCGAATTTTTTTTAACTTCCATAGACTAAATTTTAGTTATATAGTAATTACAGGCAATCGCATAAAAATAGAAAATATTTTTTTTTGCTCAAAGGTTTCTGAACATTTTGGAATACCTTAAAAAAAAGTATTTGGGTGTGTGTATGTTTTTTTTTTGTGTAGCGAAGGAAATGCCTTTATGCATCCCAGACCGGGTGTGTGTATGTGCATGTGTATATATGTGCGTATACAATTTTTTGTCGACGAGGATAAAAGGTAGTAAATTTGCCGACATACGTGAAATTTCAAGAAATGCAAATTATTACAGAGATGTACTTAAAATATGTTCAAAATTTAAATGAAAAGTTATAATTTAAAACTACTAGCACATATAATGAGAAATTAGTATTGAGAATGCAAGGCATCTCTTTCGTGAAAGATGTACTAATTAAAAAAATTAAGTTTAACTTATTGTGACTTTTATGAATATTAATTACTAGTGTTACTTTTGAACAAAAACTTT